ATGCCATTTTCTTTCGATTCTGGAGCCTACTGATCACGGAATCAGGCCGAGGGTATTCTCCACCTATAATGAAGTCTATTGATCCTATTCTCCACGAATGATAAGTCCGTTAAGCATCGATTTGGGACAATTTATTTTCGAATGACATTTTCGTAATTTCTTGTGCGACGAAATGCCATTTTCTTTGGATATTGAAGTCTACAGATCTCGTATTCGGCCTGAGGCTATTCTCCAACGACGATTGAGTCCATTAAGCACCGATTTGGTCGGATTTATTCCGGCTCAATTTTTGGCAGATCCCAAAGGGGTACCATCACAGATTTTGGGCGATTTATCCGAAATGCCATTTTCTTTCGATTCTGGAGGCTACTGATCACGGAATCAGGCCGAGGGTATTCTCCACCTATAATGAAGTCTATTGATCCTATTCTCCACGGATGATAAGTCCGTTAAGCATCAATTTGGGCCAATTTATTTTCGAATGACATTTTCGTAATTTCTTGGGCCACGAAAGGCCATTTTCTTTGGATATTGAAGGCTACAGATCACAGATTCGGCCTGAGGCTATTCTCCAACGATGATTGAGTCCATTAAGCACCGATTTGGGAGGATTTATTCCGGGTCAATTTTTGGCAGATTCCAAAGGGGAACCATTACAGATTTCGGGCAATTTATCCGAAATGCCATTTTCTTTCGATTCTGGAGGCTACAGAACACGAAATCAGGCCGAGTCTATTCTCCACCGATAATGAAGTCTATTGATCCTATTCACCCCGGATGATAAGTCCGTTAAGCATGGATTTGGGCGAATTTATTTTCGAATAGCATTTTCGTAATTTCTTGGGCTACGAAAGGCCATTTTCTTTGGATATTGAAAGCTACAGATCACGGATTCGGCCCGAGGCTATTCTCCAACGATGATTGAGTCCATTATGAATCGATTTGGATGGAGTTATTCCGGGTCAATTTTTGGCAGATTCCAAAGGGGTACCATCACAGATTTCGGGCAATTTATCCGAAATGTCATTTTCTTTCGATTCTGGAGGCTACAGATCATAAAATCAGGCCGAGGCTATTCTCCACCGATAATGAAGTCTATTGATCCTTTTCTCCCCGGATGATAAGTCCGTTAAGCATGGATTTGGGCCAATTTATTTTTCGAATGGCATTTTCGTAATTTCTTGGGCGACGAAAGGCCATTTTCTTTGGATATTGAAGGCTACAGATCACGGATTCGGCCTGAGGATATTCTCCAACGATGATTGAGTCCATTAAGCACCGATTTGGGCGGATTTATTTCGGGTCAATTTTTGGCAGATTCCAAAGGGGTACCATCACAGATTTCGGGCGATTTATCCGAAATGCCATTTTCTTTCGATTCTGGAGCCTACTGATCACGGAATCAGGCCGAGGGTATTCTCCACCTATAATGAAGTCTATTGATCCTATTCTCCACGAATGATAAGTCCGTTAAGCATCGATTTGGGACAATTTATTTTCGAATGACATTTTCGTAATTTCTTGTGCGACGAAATGCCATTTTCTTTGGATATTGAAGTCTACAGATCTCGTATTCGGCCTGAGGCTATTCTCCAACGACGATTGAGTCCATTAAGCACCGATTTGGTCGGATTTATTCCGGCTCAATTTTTGGCAGATCCCAAAGGGGTACCATCAGAGATTTTGGGCGATTTATCCGAAATGCCATTTTCTTTCGATTTTGCAGGCTACAGATCACTGAATCAGGCCAAGGCTATTCTCCACCGATAATGAAGTCTATTGATCCTATTCTCCACGGATGATAAGTCCGTTAAGCATCGATTTGGGCCAAATTATTTTCGAATGGCATTTCGTAATTTCTTGGGCGACGAAAGGCAATTTTCATTGGATATTGAAGGCTACAGATCACGAATTCGGCCTTAGGCTATTCTCCAACGATGATTGAGTCCATTAGGCATCAATTTGGGCGGATTTATTCCGGGTCAATTTTTGGCAGATTCCAAAGGGGTACCATCACAGATTTCGGGCGATTTATCCGAAATGCCATTTTCTTTCGATCTAGAGGCTAGAGATCAGAGAATCAAGCCGAGGCTATTCTCCACCGATAATGAAGTCTATTGATCCTATTCTCCACGAATGATGAGTCCATTGAGCATGGATTTGGGCCAATTTATTTTCGAATGGAATTTTCGTAATTTCTTGGGCGACGAAAGGCCATTTTCTTTGGATATTGAAGGCTACAGATCACGGATTCGACCTGAGGCTATTCTCCAACGATGATTGAGTCCATTAAGCTCCGATTTTGGCGGATTGAGTCCATCACAGATTTCGTGCGATTTATCTGAAATGCCATTTTCTTTCGATTCTGGAGGCTACTGATCATGAAATCAGGCCGAGGCTATTCTCCACCGATAATGAAGTCTATGGATCCTATTCTCCACGGATGATAAGTCCGTTAAGCATCGATTTGGGCCAATTTATTTTCGAATGGCATTTTCGTAATTTCTTGGGCGACGAAAGGCAATTTTCTTTGGATATTGAAGGCTATAGATCACGGATTCGGCCTGAGGCTATTCTCCAACGATAATTGAGTCCATTAAGCACCGATTTGGGCGGATTTATTCTGGGTCAATTTTTGGCAGATTCCAAAGGGGTACCATCACATATTTTGGGCGATTTATCCGTAATGCCATTTTCTTTCGATTCTGGAGGCGACAGATCACGGAATCAGGCCGAGGCTATTCTCCACCGATAATGAAGTCTATTGATCCTATTCTCCACGGATGATAAGTCCGTTAAGCATCGATTTGGGCCAATTTATTTTTGAATGACATTTTCGTAATTTCTTGGGCCACGAAAGGCCATTTTCTTTGGATATTGAAGGTTACAGATCACAGATTCGGCCTGAGGCTATTCTCCACGGATGATTGAGTCCATTATGCTTCGATTTGGATGGATTTATTCCGGGTCAATTTTTGGCAGATTACAAAGGGGTACCATCACAGATTTCGGGCAATTTATCCGAAATGCCATTTTCTTTCGATTCTGGAGGCTACAGATCATGAAGTCAGGCCGAGGCTATTCTCCACCGATAATGCAGTCTATTGATCCATTTTTCCCCGGATGATAAGTCTGTTAAGCATGGATTTGGGCCAATTTATTTTTCGAATGGCATTTTCGTAATTTCTTGGGCGACGAAAGGCCATTTTCTTTGGATATTGAAGGCTACAGATCACGGATTCGGCCTAAGGCTATTCTCCAATGATGATTGAGTCCATTAAGCACCGATTTGGGCAGATTTATTTCGGGTCAATTTTTGGCAGATTCCAAAGGGGTACCATCACAGATTTCGGGCGATTTATCCGAAATGCCATTTTCTTTCAATTCTGGAGGCTACAGATCACGGAATCAGGCCGAGGATATTCTCCACCGATAATGAAGTCTATTGATCTTATTCTCCACGGATGATAAGTCTGTTAAGCATCGATTTGTGCCAATTTATTTTCGAATGGCATTTTCGTAATTTCTTGGGCGACGAAAGGCCATTTTCTTTGGATATTGAAGGCTACAGATCACGGATTCGGCCTGAGGATATTCTCCAAAGATGATTGAGTCCATTAAGCACCGATTTGGGCGGATTTATTTCGGGTCAATTTTTGGCAGATTCCAAAGGGGTACCATCACAGATTTCGGGCGATTTATCCGAAATGCCATTTTCTTTCGATTCTGGAGGCGACAGATCACGAAATCAGGCCGAGGCTATTCTCCACCGATAATGAAGTCTATTGATCCTATTCTCCACGGATGATAAGTCCGTTAAGCATCAATTTGGGCCAATTTATTTTCGAATGACATTTTCGTAATTTCTTGGGCCACGAAAGGCCATTTTCTTTGGATATTGAAGGCTACAGATCACGGATTCGGCCTGAGGCTATTCTCCAACGATGATTGAGTCCATTAAGCACCGATTTGGGCGGATTTATTTCGGGTCAATTTTTGGCAGATTCCAAAGGGGTACCATCACAGATTTCGGGCGATTTATCCGAAATGCCATTTTCTTTCAATTCTGGAGGCTACAGATCACGGAATCAGGCCGAGGCTATCTCCACCGATAATGAAGTCTATTGATCATATTCTCCACGGATGATTGAGTCCATTATGCTTCGATTTGGATGGATTTATTCCGGGTCAATTTTTGGCAGATTCCAAAGGGGTACCATCACAGATTTCGGGCAATTTATCCGAAATGCCATTTTCTTTCGATTCTGGAGGCTACAGATCATGAAGTCAGGCCGAGGCTATTCTCCACCGATAATGCAGTCTATTGATCCATTTTTCCCCAGATGATAAGTCTGTTAAGCATGGATTTGGGCCAATTTATTTTTCGAATGGCATTTTCGTAATTTCTTGGGCGACGAAAGGCCATTTTCTTTGGATATTGAAGGCTACAGATCACGGATTCGGCCTAAGGCTATTCTCCAATGATGATTGAGTCCATTAAGCACCGATTTGGGCAGATTTATTTCGGGTCAATTTTTGGCAGATTCCAAAGGGGTACCATCACAGATTTCGGGCGATTTATCCGAAATGGCATTTTCTTTCAATTCTGGAGGCTACAGATCACGGAATCAGGCCGAGGCTATTTTCCGCCGATAATGAAGTCTATTGATCTTATTCTCCACGGATGATAAGTCTGTTAAGCATCGATTTGGGCCAATTTATTTTCGAATGGCATTTTCGTAATTTCTTCTGCGACGAAAGCCCATTTTCTTTGGATATTCAAGGCTACAGATCACGGATTCGGCCTGAGGCTATTCTCCAATGACGATTGAGTACATTAAGCACCTATTTGGATGGATTTATTCCGTGTCAATTTTTGGCAGATTCCAAAGGGGTACCATCACAGATATCGGGCGATTTATCCGAAATGCCATTTTCTTTCGATTCTGGAGGCTACAGATCACGGAATCAGGCCGAGGCTATTCTCCACCTATAGTGAAGTCTATTGATCCTATTCTGAAGGGATGATAAGTCCGTTAAGCATCGATTTGGGCCAATTTATTTTCGAATAGCATTTTTGTAATTTCTTGTGCGACGAAAGACCATTTTCTTTGGATATTGAAGGCTACAGATCACGGATTCGGCCTGAAGCTTTTCTCCAATGTCGATTGAGTCCATTAAGCACCGATTTGGATGGATTTATTCCGTGTCAATTTTTGGCAGATTCCAAAGGGGTACCATCACAGATTTCAGGCGATTTATCTGAAATGCCATTTTCTTTCGATTCTGGAGGCTACAGATCACGAAATCAAGCCGAGGCAATTCTCCACCGATAATGAAGTTTATTGATCCTATTCTCCCCGGATGATAAGTTCGTTAAGCATGGATTTGGGCCAATTTATTTTCGAATGGCATTTTCGTATTTTCTTGGGCTACGAAATGCCATTTTCTTTGGATATTGAAGGCTACAGATCACGGATTCGGCCTGATGCTATTCTCCAACGATGATTGAGTCCATTAAGCACCGATTTGGGCGGATTTATTCCGTGTCAATTTTTGACAGATTCCAAAGGGGTACCATCACAGATTTCGGGAGATTTATCCGAAATGCCATTTATTTTCAATTCTGGAGGCTACAGATCACGGAATCAGGCCGAGGCTATTTTCCACCGATAATGAAGTCTATTGATTCTATTCTCCACGGATGATAAGTCCGTTAAGCATCGATTTGGGCCAATTTATTTTCGAATGGGATTTTCGTAATTTCTTGTGCGACGAAAGGCCATTTGCTTTGGATATTCAAGGCTACAGATCACGGATTCGGCCTGAGGCTATTCTCCAATGACGATTGAGTACATTAAGCACCGATTTGGATGGATTTATTCCGTGTCAATTTTTGGCAGATTCCAAAGGGGTACCATCACAGATTTCAGGCGATTTATCCGAAATGCCATTTTCTTTCGATTCTGGAGGCTACAGATCACGAAATCAAGCCGAGGCTATTCTCCACCGATAATGAAGTCTATTGATCCTATTCTCCCCGGATGATAAGTCCGTTAAGCATGGATTTGGGCCAATTTATTTTCGAATGGCATTTTCGTAATTTCTTGGGCTACGAAAAGCCATTTTCTTTGGATATTGAAGGCTACAGATCACGGATTCGGCCTGAGGCTATTCTCCAACGATGATTGAGTCCATTAAGCACCGATTTGGGCGGATTTATTCCGGGTCAATTTTTGGCAGATTCCAAAGGGGTACCATCACAGATTTTGGGTGATTTATCCGAAATGCAATTTTCTTTCGATTCTGGAGGCTACTGATCACGGAATCAGGCCGAGGCTATTCTCCACCGATAATGGAGTCTATTGATCCTATTCTCCAAGAATGATAAGTCTGTTAAGCATCGATTTGGTCCAATTTATTTTCGAATGGCATTTCGTAATTTCTTGGGCGACGAAAGGCCATTTTCTTTGGATATTGAAGGCTACAGATCACGGATTCGGCCTGAGGCTATTCTCCAACGATGATTGAGTTCATTAAGCACCGATTTGTATGGATTTATTCCGGTTCAATTTTTGGCAAATTCGAAAGGGGTACCATCACAGATTTCGAGCAATTTATCCGAAATGCCATTTTCTTTCGATTCTGGAGGCTACAGATCACAAAATCAGGCCGAGGCTATTCTCCACCGATAATGAAGTCTATTGATCCTATTCTCACCGGATAATAAGTCCGTTAAGCATGGATTTGGGCCAATTTATTTTTGAATGGCATTTTTGTAATTTCTTGGGCGACGAAAGACTATTTTCTTTGGATATTGAAGGCTACAGATCACAGATTCGGCCTGAGGCTATTCTCCAACGATGATTGAGTCCATTAAGCACCGATTTGGGCGGATTTATTCCGGATCAATTTTTGGCAGATTCCAATGGGGTACCATCACAGATTTCGGGCGATTTATCCGAAATGCCATTTTCTTTCGATTCTAGAGGCTACACATCACGAAATCAGGCCGAGGATATTCTCCACTAATAATGAGGTCTATTGATCCTATTCTCCCCGGATGATAAATCCGTTAAGCATGGATTAGGGCCAATTTATTTTCGAATGGCCTTTTCGTAATTTATTGGGCTACGAAAGGCCATTTTCTTTGGATATTGAAGGCTACAGATCACGGATTCGGCCTGAGGCTATTCTCCAACGATGATTGAGTCCATTAAGCACCGATTTGGGCGGATTTATTCCTGGTCAATTTTATGAAGATTCCAAAGGGGTACCAACACAAATTTTGGGCGATTTATCCGAAATGCCATTTTCTTTCGATTCTGGAGGCTACTGATCACGGAATAATGCCGATGCTATTCTCCACCAATAATGAAGTCTATTGATCCTATTCTCCACGGATGATAAGTCCGTTAAGCATCGATATGGGCCAATTCATTTTCGAATGGCATTTTCGTAATTTCTTGGGCGACGAAATGCCATTTTCTTTGGATATTGAAAAGCCTACAGATCACGGATTCGGCATGATGCCATTCTCCAACGATGATTGAGTCCATTAAGCACCGATTTTGGCGGATTTATTGCGGGTCAATTTTTTGCAGATTCCAAAGGCGTACCATCATAGATTTCGGGCGATTAATCCGAAATGCAAATTTCTTTCGATTCTGGAGGCTACTGATCACGGAATCAGGCCGAGCCTATTCTCCACCGATAATGAAGTCTATTGATCCTATTCTCCACGGATGATAAGCCCGTTAAGCATCGATTTGGGCCAATTTACTTTCGAATGACATTTTCGTAATTTCTTGGGCGACGAAAGGCAATTTTCTTTGGATATTGAAGGCTACAGATCACGGATTCGGCCCGAGGCTATTCTCAAAAGATGATTGAGTCCATTAAGCACCAGTTTGAGCGGATTTATTCCGGGTCAATTTTTGGCAGATTCCAAAGGGGTACCATCAAAGATTTCGGGCGATTTATCCGAAATGCCAGTTTCTTTCGATTCTGGAGGCTACAGATAACGGAATCAGGCCGAGGCTATTCTCCACCGATAATGAAGTCTATTGATCCTATTCTCCACTAATGATATGTCCGTTAAGCAAGGATTTGGGTCAATTTATTTTTGAATGGCATTTTCGTAATTTCTTGGGCGACGAAAGGCAATTTTCTTTGGATATTGAAGGCTACAGATCACGGATTCGGCCTGAGACTATTCTCCAACGATGTTACAGTCCATTAAGCACCGATTTGGGCGGATTTATTCCGGGTCAATTTTTGGAAGATTCCAAAGGGGTACCATCACAGATTTCGGGCTATTTATCCGAAATGCCATTTTCTTTCGATTCTGCAGGCTACAGATCACGGAATCAGGCCGTGGCTATTCTCCACCGATAATGAAGTCTATTGATCCTTTTCTCCACGGATGATAAGTCCGTTTAGCATGGATTTGGGCCGATTTATTTTCGAATGGCATTTTCGTAATTTCTTGGGCGACGAATGGCAATTTTCTTTGGATATTGAAGGCTACAGATCACGGATTCGGCCTGAGGCTATTCTCCAACGATGTTTAAGTCCATTAAGCACCGATTTGGGCGGATTTATTCAGGGTCAATTTTTGGCAGATTCCAATGGGGTATCATCACAGATTTCGGGCGATTTATCCGAAATGCCATTTTCTTTCGATTCTGCAGGCTACAGATCACGGAATCAGGCTGTGGCTATTCTCTACCGATAATGAAGTCTATTGATCCTATTCTCCACGGATGATATGTCCGTTAAGCATGGATTTGGGCCAATATTTTTTCGAATGGCATTTTCGTAATTTCTTGGGCGACGAAAGGCCATTTTCTTTGGATATTGAAGGCTACATACCACGGATTCGGCCTGAGGCAATTCTCAAAAGATGATTGAGTCCATTAAGCACCGATTTGGGCGGATTTATTCCGGGTCAATTTTTGGCAGATTCCAAAGGGGTACCATCACAGATTTCGGGCGATTTATCCGAAATGCCATTTTCTTTCGATTCTGGAGGCTACAGATCAACAAATCAGGCCGAGGCTATTCTCCACCGATAATTAAGTCTAATGATCCTATTCTCCACGGATGATAAGTCCGTAAAGCATGGATTTGGGCCAATTTATTTTCGAATGGCATTTTCGTAATTTCTTGGGCGACGAAAGGCCATTTTCTTTGGATATTGAAGGCTACAGATCACAGATTCGGCCTGAGGCTATTCTCCAACGTTGTTTGAGTCCATTAAGCACCGATTTGGGCGGATTTATTCCGGGTCAATTTTTGGCAGATTCCAAAGGGGTATCATCACAGATTTCAGGCGATTTATCCGAAATGCCATTTTCTTTCGATTCTGCAGGCTACAGATCACGAATCAGGCTGTGGCTATTCTCTACCGATAATGAAGTCTATTGATCCTATTCTCCACGGATGATATGTCCGTTAAGCATGGATTTGGGCCAATTTATTTTCGAATGGCCTTTTCGTAATTTCTTGGGCGACGAAAGGCCAATTTCTTTGGATATTGAAGGCTACAGACCACGGATTCGGCCTGAGGCAATTCTCAAAAGATGATTGAATCCATTAAGCACCGATTTGGGCGGATTTATTCCGGGTCAATTTTTGGCGGATTCCAAAGGGGTACCATCATAGATTTCGGGCGATTTATCCGAAATGCCATTTTCTTCCGATTCTGGAGGCTACAGATCAACAAATCAGGCCGAGGCTATTCTCCACCGATAATTAAGTCTATTGATCCTATTCTCCACGGATGATAAGTCCGTTAAGCATGGATTTGGGCCAATTTATTTTCGAATGGCATTTTCGTAATTTCTTGGGCGACGAAAGGCCATTTTCTTTGGATATTGAAGGCTACAGATCACGGATTCGAACTGAGGCTATTCTCCAACGATGATTGAGTCCATTAATCACCGATTTGGGCGGATTTATTCCGAGTCAATTTTTGGCAGATTCCAAAGGGGTACCATCAAAGATTTCGTGCGATTTATCAGAAATGCCATTTTCTTTCGATTCTGGAGGCTACAAATCACGGAATCAGGTCGAGGCTATTCTCCAAAGATAATGAAGTCTATTGATCCTATACTCCACGGATGATAAGTCCGTTAAGCATCGATTTGGGCCAATTTATTTTAGAATGGCATTTTCGTAATTTCTTAGCGACGAAAGGCCATTTTCTTTGGATATTGAAGGCTATAGATCACGGATTCGGCATGAGGCTATTCTCCAACGATGATTGAGTCCATCAATCAACGATTTGGGCGGATTTATCCTGGGTCAATTTTTGGCAGATTCCAAAGGGATACCATCACAGATTTCGGGCAATTTATCCGAAATGCCATTTTCTTTCGATTCTGAAGGCTACAGAACACCAAATCAGGCCGAGTCTATTCTCCACCGCTAATGAAGTCTATTGATTCTATTCTCCCCGGATGATAAGTCCGATAAGCATGGATTTGGGCAAATTTATTTTCGAATGGCATTTTCGTAATTTCTTGTGCGACGAAAGGCCATTTTCTTTGGATATTGAAGGCTACAGATCACGGATTCAGCCTGAGGCTATTCTCCAACGATGATTGAGTCCATCAATCAACGATTTGGGCGGATTTATCCTGGGTCAATTTTTGGCAGATTCCAAAGGGATACCATCACAGATTTCGTGCGATTTATCCGAAATGTCATTTCCTTTAGATTCTGGAGGCTACAGATCATTGAATCAGGTTGAGGCTATTCTCCACCTATAATGAAGTCTATTGATCCTATTCTCCACGGATGATAAGTCCGTTAAGCATCGATTTGGGCCAATTTATTTTAGAATGGCATTTTCGTAATTTCTTAGCGACGAAATGCCATTTTCTTTCGATATTGAACGCTACAGATCACGGATTCATCCTGAGGCTATTCTCCAACGATGATTGAGTCCATTAAGCACCAATTTGGGCGGATTTATTCCGGGTCAATTTTTGGCAGATTCCAAATGGACCATCACAGATTTCGGGCAATTTATGCGAAATGCCATTTTCTTTCGGTTATGGAGGCTACAGATCACGGAGTCAGCCCGAGCTTATTCTCCACCGATAATGAAGTCTATTGATCCTATTCTTCACGGATGATAAGTCCGTTAAGCATCGATTTGGGCCAATTTATTTTCGAATGGCATTTTCCTAATTTCTTGGGCGGCGAAAGGCCATTTTCTTTGGATATTGAAGGCTACAGTCCACGGATTCGGCCTGAGGCTATTCTCCAACGATGATTGAGTACATTAAGCACCGATTTGGGCGGATTTCTTCCGGGTCAATTTTTGGCAGATTCCAAAGGGGTACCATCACATATTTCGTGCAATTTATCCGCAATGCCAGTTTCTTTCGATTCTGGAGGCTACAAATCACGGAATAAGGTCGAGGCTATTCTCCACCGATAATGAAGTCTATTGATCCTATTCTCCACTGATGATATGTGTGTTAAGCAAGGATTTTGGGCCAATTTATTTTCGAATGGCATTTTCGTAATTTCTAGGGCGACGAAAGGCCATTTTCTTTGGATATTGAAGGCTACAGATCACGGATTCGGCCTGAGACTATTCTCCAACGATGTTTCAGTCCATTAAGCACCGATTTGGGTGGATTTATTCCGGGTCAATTTTTGGAAGATTCCTAAGGGGTACCATCACAGATTTCGGGCGATTTATCCGAAATGTCATTTTCTTTCGATTCTGGAGGCTACAGATCACGGAATCAGGCCGAGGCTATTCTCCACCGATAATGAAGTCTATTGATCCTATTCTCCACGGATGATAAGTCCGTTAAGCATGGATTTGGGCCAATTTATTTTAGAATGGCCTTTTCTTAATTTCTTTGGCGACGAAAGGCAATTTTCTTTGGATATTGAAGGCTACAGATCACGGATTCGGCCTGATTCTATTCTCCAACGATGATTGAGTCCACTAATCACCGATTTGGCCGGATTTATTCCGGGTCAATTTTTGGCAGATTCTAAAGGGGTACCATCACAGATTTCGGCCGATTGATCTGAAATCCCATTTTCTTTGGATTATGGAGGCTACTCATCACGGAATCAGGCCGAGGCTATTTTCCATCGATAATGAAGGCTATTGATCCTATTCTCCACGGATGATAAGTCCGTTAAGTATCGATTTGGGCCAATTTATTTTCGAATGGCATTTCATAATTTCTTGGGCGACGAAAGGCAATTTTCTTTGGATATTGAAGGCTACAGATCACGGATTCGGCCCGAGGCTATTCTCCAACGATGATTGAGTCCAATACGCACCGATTTGGGCGGATTTATTCCGGGTCAGTTTTTGGCAGATTCCAAAGGGGTACCATCACAGATTTCGGGCTATTTATCCGAAATGCCATTTTCTTTCGATTCTGCAGGCTACAAATCACGGAATCAGACTGAGGCTATTCTCCACCGATAATGAAGTCTATTGATCCTATTCTCCACGGATGATATGTCCGTTAAGCATCGATTTGGGCCAATTTATTTTCGAATGGCATTTTCGTAATTTCTTGGGCGACGAAAGGCCATTTTCTATGTATATTGAAGGCTACAGATCACTGATTCGGCCTGAGGTTATTCTCCAACGATGTTTGAGTCCATTAAGCACCGATTTGGCCGGATTTATTCCGGGTCAATTTTTGACAGATACCAAAGGGGTACCATCACAGATTTCGGGCGATTTATCCGAAATGCCATTTTCTTTCGATTCTGCAGGCTACAGATCACGGAATCAGGCCGAGGCTATTCTCCACCGATAATGAATTCTATTGATCCTATTCTCCACGGATGATAAGTCCGTTAAGCATGGATTTGGGCCGATTTATTTTCGAATGGCATTTTCGTAATTTCTTGGGCGACGAATGGCAATTTTCTTTGGATATTGAAGGCTACAGATCACGGATTCGGCCTGAGGCTATTCTCCAACGATGATTTAGTCCATTAAGCACAGATTTGGGTGGATTTATTCCGGGTCAATTTTTGGCAGATTCCAAAGGGGTACCATCACAGATTTCGGGCTATTTATCCGAAATGCCATTTTCTTTCGATTCTGCAGGCTACAAATCACGGAATCAGGCCGAGGCTATTCTCCACCGATAATGAAGTCTTTTGATCCTATTCTCCACGGATGATAAGTCCGTTAAGTATCGATTTGGGCCAATTTATTTTCGAATGGCATTTCATAATTTCTTGGGCGACGAAAGGCAATTTTCTTTGGATATTGAAGGCTACAGATCACGGATTCGGCCTGAGGCTATTCTCCAACGATGATTGAGTCCAATAAGCACCGATTTGGGCGGATTTATTCCGGGTCAGTTTTTGGCTGATTCCAAAGGGGTACCATCACAGATTTCGGGCTATTTATCCGAAATGCCATTTTCTTTCGATTCTGCAGGCTACAAATCACGGAATCAGACTGAGGCTATTCTCCACCGATAATGAAGTCTATTGATCCTATTCTCCACGGATGATATGTCCGTTAAGCATCGATTTGGGCCAATTTATTTTCGAATGGCATTTTCGTAATTTCTTGGGCGACGAAAGGCTATTTTCTTTGTATATTGAAGGCTACAAATCACGGATTCGGCCTGAGGTTATTCTCCAACGATGTTTGAGTCCATTAAGCACCGATTTGGCCGGATTTATTCCGGGTCAATTTTTGACAGATTCCAAAGGGGTACCATCACAGATTTCGGGCGATTTATCCGAAATGCCATTTTCTTTCGATTCTGCAGGCTACAGATCACGGAATCAGGCCGAGGCTATTCTCCACCGATAATGAAGTCTATTGATCCTATTCTCCACGGATGATAAGTCCGTTAAGCCTGGATTTGGGCCGATTTATTTTCGAATGGCATTTTCGTAATTTCTTGGGCGACGAATGGCAATTTTCTTTGGATATTGAAGGCTACAGATCACGGATTCGGCCTGAGGCTATTCTCCAATGATGATTGAGTCTATTAAGCACCGATTTTGGTGGATTTATTGCGGGTCAAATTTTGGCAGATTCCAAAGGGGTACCATCACAGATTTCGGGCAATTTATCCGAAATGCCATTTTCTTTCGATTCTGGAGGCTACTGATCACGGAATAAGGCCGAGGCTATTCTCCACCGATAATGAAGTCTATTGATCCTATTCTCCACGGATGATAAGTCCGTTAAGCATCGATTTGGGCCAATTTATTTTCGAATGACATTTTCGTAATTTCTTGTGCGACGAAAGGCCATTTTCTTTGGATATTGAAGGCTACAGATCACGGATTCGGCATGAGGCTATTCTCCAACGATGATTGAGTCCATTAAGCACCGATTTGGGCGGATTTATTCCGGGTCAGTTTTTGGCAGATTCCAAAGGGGTACCATCACAGATTTCGGGCGATTTATCCGAAATGCCATTTTCTTTCGATTCTGCAGGCTACAGATCACGGAATCAGGCCGAGGCTATTCTCCACCGATAATGAAGTCTATTGATCCTATTCTCCACGGATGATAAGTCCGTTAAGCATCGATTTGGGCCAATTTATTTTCGAATGACATTTTCGTAATTTCTTGTGCGACGAAAGGCCATTTTCTTTGGATATTGAAGGCTACAGATCACGGATTCGGCATGAGGCTATTCTCCAACGATGATTGAGTCCATTAAGCACCGATTTGGGCGGATTTATTCCGGGTCAGTTTTCGGCAGATTCCAAAGGGGTACCATCACAGATTTCGGGCGATTTATCCGAAATGCCATTTTCTTTTGATTCTGGAGGCTACTGATCACGGAATTAGGCCGAGGCTATTCTCCACCGATAATGAAGTCTATTGATCCTATTCTACACAGATGATAAGTCCGTTAAGCATCGATTTGGGCCAATTTATTTTCGAATGGCATTTTCTTAATTTCTTGGACGACGAAAGGCCCTTTTCTTTGGATATTGAAGGCTACAGATCACAGATTTGGACCGAGGCTATTCTCCACCGATAATGAAGTCTATTGATCATATTCTCCACGGATGATAAGTCCGTTAAGCATGGATTTGGGCCAATTTATATTCGAACGGCATTTTCGTAATTTCTTGGGCGACGAAATGCCATTTTCTTTGGATATTGAAGGCTACAGATCACGGATTCGGCCTGAGGCTATTCTCCAACGATGATTGAGTCCAATAAGCTCCGATTTGGGCGGATTTATTCCGGGTCAGTTTTTGGCAGATTCCATAGGGGTACCATCACAGATTTCGTGCGATTTATCCGAAATGCCATTTTCTTTCGATTCTGGAGGCTACAGATTACGGAATCAGGCTGTGGCTATTCTCCACCGATAATGAAGTCTATTGATCATATTCTCCACGGATGATATGTCCGTTAAGCATGGATTTGGGCCAATTTATTTTCGAATGGCATTTTCGTAATTTCTTGGGCGACGAAAGGCCATTTTCTTTGGATATTGAAGGCTACATATCACGGATTCGGACTGAGGCTATTCTCCATGATTTTAGAGTCCATTAAGCACCGATTTGGCCGGATTTATTCCGGGTCAATTTTTGGCAGATTCCAAAGGGGTACCATCACAGATTTCGGGCGATTTATCCGAATTGCC